AGATTCTCAGAAAAAAAAGGTGCAAGAGCTGTCACTGGGGCGGTACCTTTTCAGAAGGTACACCTTTGTACTGTATGTAAATATAATATATACATACAATACAATATTTATTATATTACAATAAATACAATATGTAAAGTGTCCATATTGAATTAGTACCTAAAAGGTACACAAATGTACCTTTATGAAAGGTAGGCTGTCATTTGTCACTTTTGATTTCAGAAGTGTCCATGTGCAATTTTTTTTGCAGATGGGACAGAGTCTGACTATCCAAAACTAAAAAAAAATATTTTTGAAACTCATTTAAAACATTTCAGAAAACTGAATCTGTATTTTTATCCATATGTTATTTTTTTTCTTTTTCATATGTTTTATATAGCACAACTGATTTCAGCACTGATGATAATCATAAATGTCTCTAGAGCAGCAATCAGCATATTAGAATGATTTCTGAAGGATCATGTGGCACTGAAGACTGGAGGAATGAGACTCATCAATTATGATCGATGCATCACAGGAATAAATTACATTTTAAAGTTATATTCAAATAGAAAATAGTTGTATTGTTTGCATTAGAGACTTCTTTCAAAAACATTTTAAAAAAATCTTAATTATTCCAATCTTTTGACTGCTAGTATATAGTGTGAGTTTGTGTTTTATCCGTCGACCACTAGTATGAACCCCTAGAGCACACGAGCGAATCAACGAGAGTTTTGTCCACGTTAAGCAAAAACATTTTCATATGCATGCAGCTGCTTGATGTGACGTGATAGTTCAGTGCTGCACTGGCGCATCTTCTAAACCCCAGACAATGTGTCTCATTCTTGCAGCCTCAGCATTGAGAAGGATGTTCTTGTGACAGTATCTAGCCGGCGGCAAAGAGCAGCACACAAGTCGAGCAAAGACGAGACGAAGAAGGCCAATCTTTGTTAGTTGCCTTTTGCCCTCTGGATTGCTTGAGCGTGTCCTTTAACAAAATGTTTGAGAAACTTTCAACTGCATGCAGGAAACGGTTTGTTATTGAACTTTAGATTTGGGACTTTAGTGGGCACATAATCCATTGTCGAATTTTATGCGATTGACTTGAATATAGTTCGCACAAACAGGAAATACATCACTTATTGACCCTGGTGTCATACCTAACTTAACCTCACACTAGTTTAGCAGAATATCTGAGCTGCTCTTTTCCGTACAGGGGCTGTTGCTGAGACGGTAAAGCACTACAAATAACTGGAAAAAATCATTTGTGAGCAATAAAATATGGCATATCTGCCACTTGACGTCAATCACAAGACAGCCATATGTGAGCTATTGCAATCAAACCTGACGAGACACCTCTCGGTGCGTATTTGCAGAATTGGATACGTGCAGTCAAGTCACATCAGCTACTTTTGTAGTAAGTAAATGAGAACAGAATTGTCACATAAGTAACATCTTAAAACATGTTCTTTGTATTTACTATGTAAATAAGCTTTATTAGCACTACACAGAGCATTCAGTAACACTGTGGTTAGTGGAAAGGCTGTGTCGAGTTGCATTGGCTCAGCCAAAGCTGTAACTGGCCATTTAAACAAGTCAATCATAAAGTCTCATGATTGTTTATGGATGCCATTCAGATGTATGCATATATAGCACATATATTTAAATAGTGCTTTGAATGTGCTCTGCTTATTTCTTGCCTTAGGATACAATCTTTATAGCTTTCTGGTTGATCCTTGACTTCAGTTTATCCGTTCAGGCCATGCTGAGAATAGATCCCTCTTATTTCAAGAGAAAAAATAGAAAGTCTGCTTTAGGAAGTCTGCTATGCTCACCAAGGCTGCATTTATTTCATCAAAACTACAGTAAAGACAGTAATATTGTGAAATATTATTACAATTTAAAATTGTTGTTTTCTATACTAATATATTTAAAAATGTAATTTATTTCTGTGATGTAAAGCTGAATTTTCAGCATCATTACTCTAGTCTTCAGTGTCACATGATCCTTCAGAAATCATTCTGATACGCTGCTTTGGAGTTTATTGAGGCAAAAATCATAGTTAATAGTTAGCTAATAGTGAGAACTGGTCCTTAAAATAAAGAGTGACCAGAATTGTTTATATTTGAATTTTTTTGTTTTTGTTTATTTATTGCAAATTCTCTGTTTCTTAGAGATCATACAATCTTTTAATTTAAGCAGCTAGTTAAACAACTAGATTTTTACCATGACAGACTCACTGCCACAATGCTACGTCGTTCTGAACGGTTTTCATTGGTTCTCAGTGTTGCTATGTGGTTGCTAGTGTGTTTTTGCTGGTTGCTTGCTGTCCCAAGTCTAAAAAGTCAACCTCTAAATCTATAGATATTCTGCTCCTTAGACACAATTTTAGAAACAAACTTACTTAAAGGGATAGTTCACTCAAAAAATGCAAACTCATCATTTACTCACCCTCATGTCATTCCAAAACTGACTGACTTCCTTTCTCCTGTGGAACATGAAAGAACATATTTTGAAAAATGTCTAAAAATGTTTTTTTGGTACTGTGATAGTCGGTGGCGTCCACACTGTAAGAACAAGAACTGGAGAAAATGGAAAAATTAATTTTTCGGTTAAGTTTACAGACATTTCCTTTCACCCATAAACACAAAACAATACAACACACAATTAAAAATATTCCAAATACAGGTAAAACACCTGTGAAAAATCAGAACAGAAATTCTTATTAGCACAGTACACTGGACGCTGTTTTCAGAGCAGTGTTATTCAGTTTAGTCATGCATATCGTTCCTCAGAGAAGAGCGGGAAATAGAAGTGACGTTCAGCTGTCAAAGATCAGGCGTGGGTTTCATCAGGCTTTCTCTCGTTTACAGCGCTGGGATCTGAATTACTGTGCTATGAGCTGAATAGAGGTGGAGATGTTTGCTGCTGGAGTCACTCTGGAGCTGCAGAAAGACTCCATTGTTTCAACCTGACACTGCCGTAAAAGTTGCTGCATAAAAGCATAAAGGCATATTTTGACATAAAACAGCACAAGTTCAGTAGTGTTTGTTGTGTCTTGTGTTAATTGTTCAACAGGCAAAACTAATCAGTTATTCACCCCTTTTAGGCACAACCAGCTGCATTCTTTATTGGTCAGGTCAATTTAATAGATTAGATTAGAAGTAGCTTCAGCTGATCAAATAGTGTTCAAGGTTGAGGATTCATTCACAGCCGTTAAGTGCTCACACATAATTATAACAATTTATAATAGTATAAATTATGTAATACCTATAGTAAAACTACTGCTATCACCACCACTACTACTACTACTAATAATAATTATTATAATAAATAAATACAGTCTGTAGTCTAGGGCTTGTCCTGTTTGTCCTGAAACACTTGTTAACTGAGTGTGAGTGTAAAGGTCATTTTGTTTGCATGGCTCATGGGGAGGAGGAACTTGAGGACTCTTAAGAGATGAATAACTGAGCTATGAATAGAATGGGAGTCTATTTTGGAAAATTACGGTAATTATTACTGATTTGATGAAGGAACAGTGATTACAGGATTCTTGGAAGTTACATGTGAGATAAAATGATTCAGGTTATTGTCTTTAGTGTTTTAATCATGACTACTACCACAAATTATTATTATTATTGTTGTTGTTGTTGTTGTTGTTGTTAAGTAATATCATAAAATGCATTCTTAAAAATAAATATTGTATTTCAATGAATTATTAGTGAATTATGCTTATATGGTTTTAAGGGTGAAAAGTTGGAACATTTTTAGACATTTAACCCTTTGCTGGCCGTTTGTAATTTTTAGATGTACTAAATAAATAAATAAATGTATACATACATAAATATATATTATTTGTGTGGTTCAGTGTGTCTATTTTATTTCACAAGGGAAAAAAAAACCCCAGCAACAATTTACATTACAGCAGCAATAGAGAAAATATCCAAAAGAGAAAATAAACAAAATATATATCTCGTAAAGTATCTTACCTAAAGAAAATAAAGTCTACTTTTACTAAATTTAATATATTTTTAAGTGCAAAATTTTTTTTTTTGCTGAGATTAATAAGTGGATCTTAGATAAAAAAAAATAATAATAAAAAAAATAATATATATATATACAGTGGGTACGGAAAGTATTCACACCCCCTTAAATTTTTCACTCTTTGTTATATTGCAGCCATTTGCTAAAATCATTTAAGTTAATTTTTTTTCCTCATTAATGTACACACAGCACCCCATATTGACAGAAAAACACAGAATCGTTGACATTTTTGCAGATTTATTAAAAAAGAAAAACTGAAATATCACATGGTCCTAAGTATTCAGACCCTTTGCTCAGTATTTAGTAGAAGCACCCTTTTGATCTGAATACTTTCCGTACCCACTGTATATATATGTATACAGTATATATATATATATAATAATTTTGTGGTTCAGTGTCTATTTTATTTAACAAATATAATGGAACAACCACAGAAAAAAACAAAAAACAGCAACAGTAGTTTTGTAGTTCTAGATTAGTTAATTAAAAAGGAATTAAATAGTTCTTAAGCTCTTAAGTGTGTTACAATCTACTTCCTCATCATGTGTGATGTGTGATTATTTCCTGTCTGTGATTCTGTCTCTCTCTCTCTCTCTCTCTCTCTCTCTCTCTCTCTCCCTCTCTTGCGTTCAGGTCCCCGCAGATGAGCACGTTTCCCTGGGCCTGGAAGTGGCTTGTCTCTTCTTCTAATGTGGAGAACATGTCTTCGCTGTAGTAGGGGGACTCTGATGGCGGGATGTATATGGCACACAGGAATATATCTTTTCTGGATGGGAGCAGTTCCTTGTGGATTTTAAGCCAGGTGTAGTATTTGCCTTGCTTTACTGTGTTGATGTGGTTATACTCTCTCTCTCTCTCTCTCTCGCTCGCTCGCTCTCTCTCTCTCTGTCTCTGTCTCTCTCGCTCTCTCTCTCTCTCTCTCTCTCTCTCTCTCGCTCTCTCTCTCTCTCTCTCTCTCTCTGTCTGTCTGGCTGAAGGTTCAAACGCATCTTGAAAACCCCACGAAGTATCACATCCAGCAGGCTCAGAGGCAGCAGGTGAAGGCGTATCTGTCCACCACGCTGGGAGGAAAGCTGGGCTCGCAGGCCGTGAGCTTGCCGTGCCCCAGCCAGGCCCCTGACCACGGGGGAATGCCTCCGGGGCCGGGCAACAGCACCCCCAACAGTCCCATGGCCTTACTGACCCTCAACTCCAACTGTGAGAAAGAGGTGATGACACGCTTACAAAATACTGTGATATTTCACTTCAGCCGTTTCTAAAAAATAATGGCTACATTAGTATAATTACAGCAGATTTTGTCCAATTTTTAAAAAGTTATTTAATATTTATATATAATATTTATCAGATTTATTTATTTCTGATATTTATAAATTGTATTTATATTGACTCAGGAACTGAGTAATATTTATGAACAACATGTAATTATTTCGGTTTAGCGTTAGTTGCTCCATAATTGATTACTTTATTATTTGTTATTGCTATATTAGAGTCATTCTATAATTTAGGGTGCATTTCACACCAGGAAAAAGTGTAAAAACAATATGCTTTCTTAATAAAACAACTATTGGTTTCAGTTTATATGTTTTATCAGAACAGAGTTGACAGTTTCACCATTTTGTCTCATAATTTCAATGGCAGACCTTGTCCGGCCAACCAAAAGTTAATCAGGTTAACCTCAGATTTAAATATTTATTTTAATTAAAATCATAAAAATATTGCAAACCATAACATAGTTGATGGGCAATTAATATACTCCTTCACAATAGGTCTTTGGAGATCAAATGTAGAAAAAATTAACAGAACATTTATCTAATTTATCCATTTATCCTCAATCTGTTTTTCTGAGGTATTTACATCGTAAAAAATATTTAAAGGGGTCATATGACGTTGCTAAAAATAACATTATTTTGTGTATTTGGTGTAATGAAATGTGTTTATGTGGTTTAAAGTAAAAAAAACACATTATTTTCCACATACTGTACATTATTGTTTCTCCTCTATGCCCCGCCTTTCTGAAACGCGTCGATTTTTACAAAGCTCATCGGTCTGAAA